AAAAGAAACACCTTTAATATTAGTAAAAATCTATGACTTTTTCAGGTATGATCCTTTCAGCTGAGAAATCATATGCTTATTATATTTTGATGGAATCATCATAAAAAATATATGCACAAGTTTTTCTGTGTGATTGATCAAGTTTATGAATCGCGTGATTTCATAACAGTATTAAGGAGCCAATTATTAGATAACATATTTTGATCAAAAAATTTATTAGATAAGATATTCATTGTAATTAGACCAAAAGTAAAAAGGACAAAAAAAGAAATTTTTTTTTATGCTACTCCGATTTTAACAAGGTTAGTTACAAGTCCAAAAATTCTGTATAGCAATGAAAAACATATTAGAATAGCCACTCCATTAATTAAATATGAAAATACTCAAATTTAACATTGTCATATTAGATATTCATATCATTAATTAGTAAAAACAATACTTATCTCACCTTTTTTTATAAGAGAAGAAGTTTTTTAATCTTACTTTTAAAACGAATTTACTCTTTTATCATTTGCCTAGCGTTATGTAGATTGTTATTTTCTTGCAAAGTGTATGTATTAAATCGCAAATTGCAGAAGAGTCACAAGATATTAAGAGGTTTGAAGGTTTTTTAAATTTTAATTACTTTGAAACATGTTAGAGATGACTTATGAATAGGAGCAAATGAATATAAAACAAAAGAGCATTATACTATTCCGGGCCCTTTTTATAAGATCTTGAAGTTAATTTGAATTTTTTTCGGTTACCCACCCAATTCATAGGAGCTTTGCTCCGACTACATCTGGATCCGATCCGCGTCTCGCACCTTGCTGTGGTGGTTGAGTCTCCCAACGAGAATTTCTGCATACGCTGAACTCGCACTCGAGACCTCGTTTAAGCGGTATCAAGTCCACTTACCACTTGAACCAACCCCCGTTGGTGAAGTTAATTTGAATTGGTTTGGTTTTTTTTTATTTTATAAAATCTTACTTAGGATGTTTGATCTTTAAACGTATTTTCACCAATTTTTCGTTTAATTAATTTTATATTTTTTCTTATATTTTTCTCATACTCTATTTTCTTTCATGCTTTATATCATTACTAGTATTTCTCTTTCTTATTTATTTTCTTATCAAATAAGGACATACTTAAAAAGAAAAAGTTAAATTTTAACTATTTTTTTAAACTGTGTAATTTAATTAAAAAAATCTTATAAAAAGAACATGAGGGATTATCATCACAAGCATGGCAATAACTAAACTATTATAAGGGTTCATTAATTAATCGCTGGGGTATTATCCTGTTATATACGGAATTAGAATTAAATTTAAGCGCATAAAATTTTTGAAAGAAATATTAATGAAATTGAGAATATTGATTCATGCTTATTTATTTATTATTTTAAAAATGTAATTATGTCAAGTTGCTAGTCCTCCTATTTTTGGAACAGTATTTGTCCCGCAGTCTCCAGTCTGTACGTATTCACGTTGTTAGTTCGATGGTTCATGCATCCACTTCTTGGAAAACTAAATAAAATAAAACAATTTTTTGGTTGCCTCCACCTGATAATTTTATTTTTCATCTAAATAAAATAAATGTCCTAACTTTAGTACCCTAGATATAATAATCCAACCAAACAAAAATTGAGTTTCATAATAATACATTATTGTATTAAAGTAAATAGAAAATAAACTGTTGACATGATTATTTTATTTTTTAATATATTTTTTAAATATATTGAACACAATTATTTTGTGATTATAAATATGGGGTCGATATATGTACAAACAAAAATGCACAGCAGAGCATAATCAATATTCTATTTCAGGAAAAAGACAGCACATTGATTCTTCTTCTTCGGTCCAAAAAAGAAAACACATTGATCCTTTTGTTTTAATATTATTTTCAAAATTTCAAACATTTTTAAATTGAATAGTAAAAACGCTTTTGAATTTTTTTTTTCGGAGGCCAACTCGGAAAACACTTTTGAAGGCACAAACGCTTTCATTGGCATTATGTTGGAGATGATTAATGATGCTAACAATTAAATAAAATTACTTTTGAAGGCATTAACACTTTTCTTTGCCTTTACGTTGGCAATAATTATTTGTACATATACTGAGTGGTCAATACGGTATTTAATTTCCGAAAAAGAGGACGAATACTACAAAACAAAGAAATAAATTAAATTAATGAACAAAATGTCAAGCCACCACTTCCCAAACCGTCCCTGACGTATATTCAAATTCAAAATTTTTTTTATTACATGTGGGTTTATTTAATGCCCTTCTAGTTGTCTTAGATTACCGAAAAAAACATTTTTTCAGAAAAATATTAAACATTAAATTAATATTGGCATTCTCATTCATTTCGTAAAATAATCGCGAGTCGTTTTTAAACTTTCCATTATTTGAGCTACTCAAATCAAATGCGGTTTTTTTTTTAACCTTGAAATCAAATATGGATTACTCTTTTTTTAAAATTTTTATTTTAAAAAATACAGAAGCATGACATTGAAAATAATTGTTCAGCTAATTAATTTTATAAAAATAATGATTCAAAAAGTAAATTAAATTAAAAGACATATACAAATAAAAACTTTTGCTCAGATTTAATAATGGACATGTGAGCGAGCTGCTGATGTCCCTTCATGGTCCCGTAGCGACGGGACATTTGTTTGTATTCACAGAGGCTTTATTTTATATGCGTATATATTATGATTATTTTTAAAATAACAAATAATAGAATTAAAATACCCATTTTTTTGCCAATAAATTTAAAATATCCCTATATAATGGAATTAACAATTAATTTAATACTACCTCCGGTCCCACCAATATGTTTCCAAAAAAGGAAAGATTCCTTTTCTCACGATCCATTCCATTTAAAGTCTCCGGTGAGTGCGCACAGTCCATCATTTCACGTGCGGGCGCGTGCACTCCCAACCATCAAGGTTCACCTAACCCAACCAATCCATACATGACACTTCACCGTTAATGCTTAGTTTTTTTATTCAATTTGCCAAGCCAGAATTAATAATTCAACAGTCCTGATTGGAAAATAATAATAATAATAATAATACTTCGTTTTTAATAAATTCGTACTCTGAAGATGTATACATAATTGATTATTTATTCATAATTATTCAAATTGACTTTCACTATATAAATGTGCCCATTATTTTTTGAAGTGTCTATCCAATTTTGAGCCTCGTGGTCATCAGTTGAAGAATTATTAACTTATTATTCATTCATCTTTGCACAATCATTTATTCATTTTGTAGAGAACATATATTTTCTAGATTTGTTTTGCAGTTCATTTAACACGAGCTACAAGTATAATAGTAAAATAAAAATTAAATAAAAGAGCTGAATGTTATGAATATTATATGGATGTCTATTTATCTCTTCCTTTTCATCTTTTTCCAAATAACTTCCACTACCTCCACCATTAATTTTCTCATCATAATTATTTGTGAAAATCTTTATTTTCACATAAACATCCATATATTCTATAGAAACATTATATTTATGTATTCGGACTGCAGCTTCATTTTCACATATCAAAATAATATTTTTATCACGTCTTTTTCTTTTTACTTTTTTTTTTAGCCAAATTTATATTTACTTTATATGATAGATCTATGTATATAGTCCTCTTTTTATCACGTGATATTCTCATGAAATCATTGTTGACAACTTTACTTTTCGATTCTATTTTTTCATTCTCTTGTCTTTATCTTTTCTGTTCTACTTTTGTGGTTTTATTTTGGATCCATTTCATAATACCGAAGTAATTTTGTTTATTATTCTTGAGACGCTCCAAGTGACAGCCTAATGCACATAGCATTCATTATTCAAAATACCAAAAAAAACCTTGTCAACAATAGGACACAATTCAAAGATCATATGCAAATTCTGGGAGGTGTGTTTTTTGATCTGTGGGTACCTTTTGTTTTGAAGGACTCTATGAAATAAGTGTTGCGTGTGACTAATTAATTAAAGTATGGGAGGAAAGTAAAAAGCAAATAAGAGGAGAAAATTTATGAGTTACATAAATATTATGGGAGGTATTTGATATCCAGAAATATTAGATCATGTTCAAGCATTGTCAATATAATATTTAATTAGTAGAGTAGAATCAAACCCTGTTTTTTGGATAATGGTCATTTTGCATTAAAAAAGAAGAAGTCATGTATTAGACAAGTCAATTATTCTGGTGTGATGGGGACTAAATTTCAAAATGATGCTTAGAAATGTAAAAAGTTTCAAATAAAGAAGGCTCATTCCATAGAAAGCCGCCATAGCTGGCTAGCCACGAAGCTCTGTTGCAAAGTCAACTCCTGTAACTCTCATATGTCAGGGCCACAGCATTTATTCCCAAGGACCTCTCCCCCTCCTTTTTTTCTGCCTCCCATTGGGCTCCATTCAGATTCCAGCTGCTTTTATTGGTATTTTGGGAATGTTCAGATTCTATTTTAACCAAAAGTACGCAAACCACACTTTAAATTTGGACCCGAACCAACCCGAATTCATCCCTACAGGGCAGCCCAAACAAATATATTCGAGTTTGAAGTCATCTCAAAGCTCACTCAGTGAACTCCGTCATATCTAAAACAGGACACGTTAGCTTACTCTTTTTTTTTTGGGGAAAAATGTCCAGTTTTCTTGAAGGTTACTATCCTTTGTTTTTAATATAAGAGCTAACTGACTAATTTGAATAGATTAAGGAAGCTTATTAAACTAGCTATTTATAATAAACAAGTGTCATATTCTTCAAAATACTCTTATTAATCAAGCATGTTAGTTTTAACATTTGATGAAAACTTTGACACGTGCAATTACGACAAGAACTGTTTTGAGAAAAATAAATAAATATAAAAATAAATAAATTGGGGTTTTGATCAAATTAAAAGTTAAATTAGCTTTTATATTAACTACTAGTTAATATATAATAAGAAGACAATTAAGGCTAACAAATCTTCAGAACTTGATAAAGATTTTAACTTGTACACTATAATGATACGAGGGTTTAAAACCATTCAACTTTATTGCAAATCCTTGGGACTTTCTTTCCCATTGCATGCATTGTTACATGGAGACCAAAAAATAAACTCGAGAAGGGGAAAATATGAGTTCAAAAACGTGAATGCGATATCAAATAATGAAATAATAATGACAGTAATAAAAGTGAAGTTACATCACATCTGATTTTATTTCCCTACAAAGCCTTGCTTCTTCTCCCCTCCTTATCTTGCTTCAAGAAAATTTTGTTATCAGCTTTTATGGGCAATCAAAATACATGCACTTTCTTCTTCTTCTTCTTAGCACCTGGGAAAATCGCTTGGAGGTGGAAGCAGAGACTCGTTTGGTCCCTTACCATTGTCCACCACGAATGCCATCTTCAGTCCCCACGACGTGTGAATTTCCAAATGGCAATGCATGAACCACACCCCTGTCAATTCAATCACCAAACACCAGTAAGCAAAATTGTTGTCTAAATAATCTTAGAATTTAAAGCTAAAACTTGTGGCATTAGAAGAACGTTACCTGGATTATCAGCTCTGAACCTAATGGCTGTCCATCCACCCGCCGGGACACCAACTGTGTTTCTCTCCACTGGGTCGACGAGGTTGAAGTTTTTGGGATCCTTCTTGGGATTGAAATTTCCAACTCCTCTGCCAACCACGAAGAAATTGAAGCCGTGAAGATGAATTGGATGGTTTTCAGGTGCTATCATTCCTGTGTCTTGCAACACCAACTCGACTGTTGAGTTGTAAGGAAGCCTGTAAAGCCTCGTCCCTGTTGTGGTCGCGAAGTTGGCCGGCTGTGTTCCGGTGAAGTTGAACATCACCGGAGGCTTAGCGGGGAAGTCGTCGGTGAAAACGCCGCTAATGTTGAAGAAATGTGCCTGGAGCAGAGAAATGTTCGGCATCACGAAGGAAACGTTGTTGAAATCGGCAACCACACGGCTTCCGTTTACGCAAGTAGCACAGGGGTTGACGCCGAGGCCGACGGTGAAGAACAGGGAATGGTCGATCTTCAAGGGGACTTTTGCAGGGTAGGCGTTTGAGTTTAGGCTTCTGAGAGAGTCAGTGAACTTTGTGGCTACTGGTGTTGCGTTTTTGGGAGGAAGGGAAGTGAGGGTGGTCATTGTGGAACCGAGAGTGCCTGAGTAGTGTAATGTGGCTTTGGCTGTTCTGTTGTCTACTATGATGGGAGCGTCCATGAAAGGAGATGCTGCAAATAAGTACTTGCCCGTGGCTCTGTTGGTTGTGAGAAGGACGTTTGTGGTCTGGCCTGGTGCTATGACTATGGTGTCTGTTTTGAAAGGCTTCGTGTAGACTGCATCAACCTCAACCACTGTGAGTTGATGGCCTGCAACCTTAAAGAAGAGTTCTTCATTCAGTGCAGCGTTGATAATTCGCAGAAGGTAGGTTTTTCCCTGTTCAACTTGAAAATTGAATCCTGCTCGCAAAGGAAAAGACGATAGTAAGTCTCCTGGTATGGGAATTAGCCATACTTTCCTGTTTCATGTTTTCTGCTTTTTCCCCCTCTGGTTTCATCAAGAATTATTATTTTTAACCAATTTCTCGGTTATAGGCTTCACGCAGCTACCCTAGTTTTAGAAAGTTGGTTACCAAAGATAAATAAATCAAATCAGTTATGAGAAGATGTATCAGGACATATTTTTCTGAGTGAAATGTATCTCTAACGAAATAACGGAGTTTTTTAAAAATGAATTTGATTTAATTTTATAGATAGAGCCTGTTTAAGCTTAAGGGAAAGGTTTTGGCTTTTACCTTGCGAAGCACAACCTTGGACAGGACCTGGGTGGCCATTGATGGTGTGAGCATCGGAGACATTAGGGGCCAACCCAGACTTCAGAGCTTCATTAATGACAGCCTCTGTATCTGATTTCCACCATTCACCTAACCCAAATTGAAGTAAAATGAGATTTATGAGGTTTGATTTTCATCCCGTTTGACTATTATACAATTTAAACTGTTGAGCAGGGAAAAAGATAAAAGGTAGTAGAACTAACCCAACACAATGATTTGTTCCATGTGGGGTCTGGGAAAAGGGTAAGGAACACCAAGCTTGGGCATGATAACAATGGCTCCATGGAGAGTGGCCCTGAGCCAGAGGATGTGTGCATGCCAAAAGAGTGTACCCCTCTGGCCTGTGATGGTGAAGTTGTACACATAGACCTGGCCTGGTTGAATTGGGCACTGTGTTATGTACGCTGGCCCATCAGCCCAACCTGTCCTAAGCTGTCTGACACCGTGCCTGAAACATACATGAAAAGAAAAGGGTCTAAAACTTGAAAATTTCTTAATTTTTCAGGTATAGATTCGGATTTCTCAACATGTTTACTCATGTAAAAGTATTGAAAGATAGATGTTGAATCATTCAGTAATTTGAGATTTGAGTACCCACCAGTGGATGCTGACGTTGTAATTGACGTGGTTGACCACCTTAACCAGAACAGTGTCATCTTCCCTAGCATAGATGGTGGGACCTGGGAATTTTCCGTTGACGGTTACTATGGGCTTGGTTGAACACAGTCTCGTCGCATTCTTCATCACGACCTGCATAAAATATTAACATTCACCAAACTTGATTGCCTTGCTCAACTATATCATAGGCGCTTTGCTGTTTGATAAAGCCTTGCTGAGTCATATTTTGTAGCATTGGGCCTTTACGTCATTGTGTGGTTGAACTAATGGGTGGAAAATGCGTCAAAAAGGGGGAATTTTTTTTTTTTTTTTGCCGACAAGAAAAAAAATCATATTGTTGTATGGGCAATTTTTCAGCATTTGAAATCCGTTTGTACACAATTTGATACCATTCTCACCTGTTAATTAGATGAATTTTGGTAATCTTATTCCCATGCCTGGATGTCTTAATTAATATGAAATATTGATTAGCTAAAAGAAAGAATGAATATTCTTTATGAGCAAGCTTTTCCTTTGGGTCTGTTAAAAAAAAAAAAAAAAGGAGTCACGTGGGGAGGAAAACTCACGTATTGGAAACCGACCATGATTGTGAAAATGGGAGGTCTTGAAGTAAATTGCAAGAAAATGGTTCAATCCAATTAATATGCAGACATTTACTGATGCTTAGCTATCCCTTCTAAGGACTGCAGAATGTTATCAAGATGCAATGTCAATGGAAAAGGACGCTCATTTGCTTTCATAATTTGTGCCTTTTCAATCTTATCTACAGGATTTGTTAACACTTTTGCGTGCTAAGATTTGAAGATGAGGCATCATTTAAAACTCCCTGTTCTTTGCAGCAAAGAAATATGTCAGTTTTGGCGTAGCCAGAATTTACTCATTCAACTAAACTCTGAACTCCCATCCCAGTTAATATTCATGCAATCAAATAATCTAATCAAAATGTATTGAAATGAGGGCATTTTAGTTGACCGTGATGGAATAAAACTTGAAGTTCATTTTCATTCCTTTTCTTGCTTTCGTTTTTTTTTATCTCTGCTTTCATTATGGTTGCATGCAAATAAAAACTGCATTATATTGCACTTACGTTGAACTTGTAGTGCCTAATCCTGGCCTCCGCAAATAGAGGAAGCAAGCACGCAGCAACTAGCAGAATGACTCGAATCCATGCAGCTGCCATACCCATCGGTTGAGCTCTGTCTGTGTGTGTGATTGTTCTGTGAGCACACAGAAACACGTATGTCTCTGTTTTCGTTGTTGTCTGCTGTGAAATGGAACTGATTATATAAAGAGGTATGTACACTCACTGTTGCAATGTCCTTTTAATCAGTTGGTTGGAGGAATGCTAACTCAGACGTAAGGTCTGTAGTATAAAATTCCAAAATAGAAAAGGAATTAAAAAAGGGGAAAAAGTGAACTGAGAAGAAAATGAAAAGCTGGCTAGGAACTTCTGTTATTTTCTTGTGTATTACATAAAGTAGTTATCCATCAAACTAAGACATCTTTCGAAGCTAAGATGGTTGAGCTTCAGGGTGATGCCCCCTTTAATTTTTTTCTTTAATTTTTCCTACATAACTAGGTGGTCTGATGCTGGGTTTGGTCCAACCACATTGGGTAAAGTACAACAATCCCATCTAACATGCCAATTGGTGGAATCGAATGAAGAAACAGATTGCCGCCTGAGATCAGATGTGACATAAATAGAACAATTAAGAAGATAATAGCCTTTTCAAGAATAATAGAAAAGTAACTTCTAGTTTGTCATTGCTATTCCTGGTTGGTTACACAGAGCAGCAACTTTTGAAAAATACTAACGCACATAATAATGTTTCAATATTGTAATAGTATCAGTTTACTTAATATTTCTATCAAACACCCAGACACTGTAGCAAGGTAGTGACACATATTGAAATATTGGTATGCGGAAAGGTGAAGTAGTGATAAGAACAAACTTCAACTTGAAATGATGAAGAAGAGAAATGAGTAGAATGAAATTCATGAATTCCCATTTTTGGTCCAAGAGGAGAAATATTTCAAAGGTTTTGGCGTTCAAGAAAGGCAAAATAGGGGGGCGGGGGGGGGGGGGGTGGTGGGATATAGTAGGTGAAATGTAACAAGCACTGTGGGGGATTGTTAGTCCAACAAAAATTTAATTATTGGTGAAGAATGGCTTTCAGGGATAGCTGGCTGATATTAGAACCAATACATCAAAATAAACAAGCTTCTTCCCTCAAAGCTAAAGATTTTAGGATTGGTTGTTTACCATTCCTTCTGTTGACCGCTGTCCCACCGATTAGTTATTTAACACCTTGTGTTTCTCATTTCCTTCTAGTTGCAGCTGCCGCCTCTCCAAAATATTAATTAATTAACTTATCAATAAATAAAATATTACTCAATGTACCACTTTGAATTAATAATATCTATTTATACTTTTAAGAACATGTAGTCCATAACAGATAGAGATCATCATATTTCTTAAAAGTTCCTTCATAATTATTTAATTGTTATATAGTTAACTATTTAACTGAGAGAGGATGTGTACTTTATCCACCATTTAATTGTTATATATTTATTAAATTCTTCCCATATGCCAGAGTAGTTGAAATTAAACATGTCCGTTGTAAAGAGGATTCTCTAGAATGCCTCTTTGTGCCCAATTTTCACATACAATATGTGGCCTAGTTACGTTCATTTAATCCGTTTTTAATTATAGTTCATACAATTTTGATGGTTTACACTAATTTATATAATTAGTTCTGGGCATTTATTAATTCTTTTTGCTAGAGATGAGTAAAATAAGTATAGAAATATTACCTTCGGTCCTAATTATAAGAGCTAGTTGACTAATTTAAGAGATTAAAAAAGTAGTTAAGTTAGTTATTTATAATAAATATGTGTTGTCTTTTCTAAAATATCCTTATAATTAAGTGTATTAGTTAGAGCTATCATTGTTAGAAGGATTTTCTGGGGAAAAAATACATAAATATGAGATATAAATGGATTGGAGCTTATAATTAGGACCAAAATAAAAATTAAAGGAGATGTTATATTAAGTACCGGAGGTAGTAATTCGGATCATAATTAATCTGGATTCTTGCTGGTTGTCTCTGTGTAAAAAATATTTGTAGGCAAACATGATAATGTCGTTAGTAGTTATTAGTACAACCTTTTAGGCAATATTTTTAAAATCGTAGCAATTATTAATATCATTAAGTCATGATTCCAGATTATTTTTTTTTTGCCCCCAAGTCATGATCCCAGATTGATTGGTTCAACCGCGGTAGCGATTTAATGAATATGTTTTTAATTTTATATATTAAAATATCATATAGAAAATCAAAGAAATTGTTACTAACTAGTTTTATAACAAAATATTGAAATTTAAATAGTATTCATTTATGGTCAGTTGATCGCTCATGAAATTCAAAGTAGCGAGCTACTAATCTATCAATAATTCACTATAGAATTTATTAAGTAAATAAGTAGATTGATAACTATTAATAATTGTGTACAAAATAACTGTATATATAATAATATCAAATAAGAAAAAATTATCCAAGACACGATGTAAAATAAGATATAGTTTGATATGTGATGGTTTGGTATGATTTCGTTTTAGCATGAAATTTAAAATGTGAGCGGTCCGGTGTTCTTATTCTGTGGTTTTATTCTGTTTACTTTTTTTGGGTCAGCAAATGCCATGTCCAAGTCGCGTATCCTCAAATCTTTTAATGTTGCTCCCTTTTCATCTTTAGCAAATCTGAATTTGCAAAATTGCCCCCCTTTTAAATTATTCTGAGTTCAAGCACGATAGCTAATATTAAAATCCACCCCAATAAGAATGAGTTATCGTACTTGACCAAAAACAAAGAATGAATTGTCCTACCTATGCGATTTATCCAATTGAATGAAAAAATTACTTGGATTTGGGTTGATGTATCCAAATAATGGGTTTGCTAATCCACCAAATTCGAATCCTCACTAATCGTAACATATTACAATTGAGTTTTCATAAAATTTGTTTTTCTCCTCTCTCTATTTTTTTTCCTGGTATTTAATTCTTCTTAAGTGGCCATCTCCCTTCTGACATTTTCACAATATACTACCTCTAAGTTTTATATAAAAGTTAGTTAAAATTTAATTTGATCCTAAATATAAGACTTTAATCCATTTTATCCCCCAAATTTATAATTACTCTTTAAAGTTTTTTTATTAATTGCACATATTAAGAAATTTTAATTCAAAGACCTTGATGATTAAAAATAGTACTTTGAAAAGATTAATTCATATTTATGATAAATAATTAACTTAACTAATTTTTTTAATATACTCAAATTAGTTAAATAGCCCTTATAAGAGATATCAATTAACAATGAAACTAACAAAAACTTTTACAACACTATGAATGCATTCACACCTGCGCCTGCATGCACAAACACCTCCACTTGTGATCAACATATTTTAAAAGAATTCCAAAGCGTTGCAGCGCGCGCGCGCGCACACACGAAATTGAGTTCATCTACATATGCATCTGTTTTTTCTTAAATAAGATCAAGAGTATTATTTTCCATTAGCAATAGATGTTAATCTCACTTAGGATATAAAAGGCAAATAATGAACTTCTTCTAGCTTATATTTGCTTCGAATCAAACTTCCAATTTCTTGCTTAGGTTGCTCATCCCATCAACGTTAATTATATCATTTTTTGAATATTTTACTTTAGGGCGTGACAATTTGTTCTATTTTTTTATTTTTTTTAAAAAAACATGTTTGGCAACTTCTGCCTCTATATTTCTGGTTCAGATTATCTCACATCCAAACCAGAATACGAAGAAAGAAAGAAGACATGGCAGATCATGAGATGGGATCTCTGAATAATATGTTAATGCCATATATTAATGATTTTAACTTATTTAAATGGACATGACTCTTATAGTGTCTTGCTCATTTGTCACTTCACTTGAATCAAGCATATATGTAACTCGACGTATGTGAGCGCGTTTATACAAAACAATTCACCGGTCCCCAGAGGTATTGTCGGATTATTAATGATTTATTACACACACGCACACTGCTTTGTATCATGATTACGAATAAACATTTCAGCCTATGAATGGACAAACAGATAGAAAACACAAAGCCGATAATTATTACTAGTAAAAAGTCCTGGACGTTATTTTCAAGTCGGGATATATCAATACTATCGTCTAAATCATCATAAACTTTTTAATTGCACGTTGGGTGTCATTAATTAATCATAATCCGTCCTTCTTCCTCCAACAATGGTGATAGCCACCAGCCCACATCGTCACGCATTTGCATTGCATCCATGACAAACAATCAAAAGCTATTTTATTGCATTGTTGTTCAATCTAGTATTCATCAAACCCCCCCAGTATTTACGTTTCTTTAAATAAAAATTACGATATAGAAAGTTTTTTTTATATATATATTTGAATGATTTTGAACGTATAATGATTTCTAATAGCAACGTGATGTATGGTAGATTTTAATTAGTTTCGAAATAATTTTAAGAAAGATCAAACTTTAGTGAATAAAACATATATTGCTTATGATCACTAAGTTGTCTCTTGGATGTTTTTGTTTGCATGTGTTACTATATATAAATATCATTTGGTGACCTGCGAACTAGGAATAAGAATTAGTCTGCTCCTGGCCCTTGATGACCTTTTAATCTGTTTCTGCAAATTCGCAGAAGGTCATTAGATTTTTGCAAGCGGGTTTAACGTTTATCTTTCTACGTACTTTCGATTCCATATACTTGCTTTTCAATTACCTTCTATAGCAGAACAGAAAGTATTTTTATTTCACTCCAAGAAACTGTTATAATTATAGCTATTTATATATGTAACTTCTTTAACTTCTTTCTGCGATTGTGTGTGTGTGTGAATATATCCATATGGTCTGTACGTTGACAAGATTCTGGTATTATGTAATGTACGTACTGTGCCTGGCTGTGAAATCCGAAGTCTCTTCAATTGTTTAATTTAGTGATCTCTTCCTCTTCTTTTCTTTTCTTTTCTCTTTCTCTCTCTTTTTTTTTTTTTGCCTGAGCTGATGATCAAATATAGTTGGGACTACAAATTAACCGGATTGGGAAGAGTGCTATATATACGCACTCCTCTTTTTTAGGTATATGTTGCAGTATAAGAACATTATGCGTTCAAAGTCTCCCCAACTAAAAATGGAACAGGAATATGTTGAGAAATAAAATAAAAATAGTAAATTAAGGAATTTCATTCTCTTTTTGCCAATAAATAAAGAAACTTCATCATGGAACACTGTAAATACTGGATTCTTGTGAATACAGTCTTGTGACTTACATGCTTCTGGGTTGTATGAAGATTCTGAAGCAGTGCAATGGCATCGAATGATCAACTGATGACGAAAGACAAAGAAAGGGACGGCGACGAAATTTACACCAGAGATGGAACCGTAGATTATCATGGAAATCCGGCTAACAAGAATCAAACTGGAACCTGGAAGGCCTGCCCATTCATTTTAGGTGACAACTATTATACTATATTTCATATGATTGACCAGTTTACTCATACATCTCTACACACATGTATAAGCTTAATCATGGAAATTAAAGCAAGAATGATTTGTGAAACACATATATATAGGGAACGAATGTTGTGAGAGATTGGCATATTATGGAATGGGGACAAATCTAGTACTGTATTTCAAGCACAGGCTGGGCCAGCAGGGGGCTACAGCGTCCAAGAATGTTGCAGATTGGAGTGGAACTTGCTACTTCACTCCTTTGCTCGGAGCTTTTCTTGCTGATGCCTATCTTGGTAGATACTGGACTATTGCCTCTTTCTCCCTCATCTATGTCATTGTCAGTACCCTTTTCCACTCGTCAAACTCATCATTTTAAGTCAACTCAATTAACTTCCAAAGCATTATATATATGGTATGTATATATATGTATATATAACATGAATCTTGATTTATAGGGAATGGCACTCTTGGCACTATCTGCATCAATTCCTGGCATCAAGCCCATCTGCGACGTAGAAGTAGGCAACTGCAAGGCCACCGTCACGCAGAACGCGGTGGCGTTTTTAGCTCTCTACCTCATTGCTCTCGGCACCGGCGGCATCAAGCCCTGTGTTTCCTCCTTCGGAGCTGACCAGTTCGACGACGCCGATGAAGCTGAGAAGGAGAAGAAGGGCTCCTTCTTCAACTGGTTCTATTTCTCCATCAACGTTGGCGCTCTCATCGCCGCTTCTGTGCTGGTGTGGATTCAGGACAACGTCGGGTGGGGATTGGGGTTTGGGATCCCGGCGGTGGCGATGGCCGTCGCGGTGGTTTTCTACTTTTCCGGCACGAGGTTGTATCGGCACCAGAAGCCCGGCGGGAGCCCTCTTACTCGCCTGTTTCAGGTGGTTGTGGCGTCCCTGAGAAAGCACAAGGTTGATGTTCCAGACGATAAACGTCTTCTGTACGAGCTTGAGGCTGATACAGAGTCTGCCGTTGTCGGAAGCCGCAAACTTGATCGCACTTCAGGATTGAGGTGGCGGCTAATATATATACAGTTATATACGGGGTTAAATTCTTGAATAGAAATTTTACAAGATAATATGTAAGTTAGAGACAAAAATAATTTACTATCTTGCATGGCACAGATTCTTGGACAAAGCTGCGGTGGTGGAACACTCCGACGACGGGAAAGGCACGGTGGACCGATGGAGACTCTGCACCGTAACCCAAGTGGAAGAGCTAAAGGCCATTATTCGTCTCCTTCCTGTGTGGGCCACGGGAATCATCTTCGCCACCGTGTACGGCCAAATGAGCAACTTTTACGTCCTCCAAGGCGAGACCATGGACACCCGCTTCGGCAATTCCTCTTTCGAAATCCCTCCGGCGTCTCTCTCCCTCTTCGACACTCTCAGTGTGCTCTTCTGGGTCCCCGTCTACGACCGCCTTATCGTCCCCTTCGCCTCGAAACTCACCGGCAACAGACGAGGCCTCACTCAGCTCCAGAGAATGGGCATCGGCCTCTTCATCTCCATCTTCTCCGTCCTCTTTGCCGGAGTTCTTGAGCACGTCAGACTCAGAATGATGCAGAAGCATAACTACTACGAGATGAAAGAAATTCCGATTTCTATATTCTGGCAGGTCCCCCAGTACTTCATCATTGGGTGTGCTGAGGTTTTTACGTTTATTGGACAATTAGAGTTCTTCTACGAGCAAGCTCCTGATGCTATGAGAAGTGTGTGTTCTGCTCTTTCACTTCTCACAGTCGCACTGGGACAGTACGTGAGCTCGCTGCTTGTGACCATTGTTACCAAAATTACTGCCAGAAAAGGGAGCCCCGGCTGGCTGCCTGATAATCTCAACTATGGGAAGCTTCATTATTTCTTCTGGCTTTTATCTGCGTTGAGTGTGATCAACTTTCTGGCTTTCCTTGTGGTGGCTAAGATGTATAAATACAAAAGGACCCTTGGAACACTTCGCTGAAACCATTCGGCGTCATTCAAGGAGACGCCAATACTCACATCAAATATGTACAATGTTCATGACAAATCTTACTGTGTTTTATTATCGGAACTTCGTAAGTCGAATTAGATTCTTGGCTTTTGGTTTCCGCCACGTAACGTCTACCTGTATCATTGAACTCCAATGTTATGTTGTCAAAATCAAGAATCCCCCACTTGTATAAAATGTTTCTTATGCTCAGCCTATACTTGGAAACGTATTTTTACAATTTTCGATTACTTTCACATTATTTTGGACCAAGATCAATAGGTTTCTAACACCCAGTAATTTTGTAAATTATATTACAGGTATGTCAAAAGTGAAATAAAATTATAAAAATGAATTGCTAGGTAAATAATAAATAATAAAATTATAAAAATGAATTGTCTTGTAAATAATAATAGTACTCCTCCAGTCCTAATTATAAGACCCAATTGACTTATTTGAGGAGATTAAGGAAGTAAGTTGAGTTGGTTATTTATAATAAATAAGTGTTGTCATTCCTAAAATATCCTTGCTAATTAAGTATATTGGCTAAAACTATCATTATTAGAAGGATTATCTTGAAAAAAATGTATAAATATAAGAGACAAAATGGATTAGGGTCTTATAATTAGAACCAAATAAAAAGTCAAATAGAGTCTTATAATAAGAATCGGAGGAGTACTATTTAGGGCTTTATGGCCACGAAGAAACGGGCTACACAAGTGATTATTCAAAGTCATTGGGCCTATCTTTGCACAGCATAAATTGATGCCCAAGTAGATTGGCCCAATAGTTACAAACAGCACTCTCTTTGGACTCATTTGCCGCTCATTCCCTTCTTCCCCAGAGCCAGGAGTCGCAGCTTCGCCATGGTTCGAAAGCGCTTTCCTGACGCCGAAAAAGGTACTCTTTACATATATGAAAACAGTTAAAGCTTTAGCCTCATAGCCTCTGAATTGAATCGTTTGTATCATTTCCTCTTTTTGATTATATAAGCGTAACTTGCTGGATATTACATAAAATTCATGGCACGAATTTTCAGGCATTTCGTTCTTCGAATTAGACTTTTTGATTCATTTTTCTTCCCGCATAGGATTTCAGCTGGCGAATGAATACCTAAAAAGTTACCTAAATTAGAACTAGCTTCACAAACTCTGGACGAAATCATTCGTATACTACTAGTCTAGCAATTTTTGTATGAGCTTGAACTGCATACCAGATGTTTGATAAAATGTATAGCACAAAACTTTGAGTAGTTGTTCTTTTTCTTTACGAGTCGAATGTGTTGATACACAGGATTTCAGCTGGAGAAGTTTCTGAAGAAAATAGGAGTAGGGAAAGATGATCGTTATTTCTGGAAACAAGTAGGGAAGGCTTTGCTATGCACGTACGCCATAGTAGGTGCAGTGTGGGTGTACAATGAAACATCACCATTGGGTTGGTGGACGCTGAAACCACGGCCAAAGGAGGAGCGAGAGCTAGCCCACCTGTACGAGCGGCGGGAGTTTCCTTACCCCGGCGACGAAGAAGCCATGAAAGAGTTTGTTGCCAAGGGAGGGATGATTGGAACGGCCATTGGCCCAAAAGGGTTCGCTGAGACTGATAAGGATGCGTACAATTACCAGAAGCAGCTGCAGGACGAGAAGTTTGAGATAGAAGCTCAAAAACTTTGGCTCAGGATGAGGAAGGAGGTTACTGAAGAGCTTAAAGAGAAGGGCTTTGATGTGGAATGAGTCAGAAAGTGTGGCTGAAGATAAGAAAGGTCATTTCCCAGAGGCTTTTATGCCATTAGCCTAAAGGCTCATTAGCCGTTTCTCAGTCAGAAGAGTGGAAGAATGTAATAAATTTCGACGAGGCCCTCATAAATATTTGAACTGATTGTGTGGCTAATTAGATATATCTGTTGTGAGAACTGAGAATCAATTTGGTAAATATTTAGTCCGAACTGTTACGTCCTTACATGATCTTTCGTTTAACGTTAACCAAGACTGATTAGAATCTCTCTTTCCGAACCACTAGTTTTGTTAAAATCTCGTTAACTATTTTATCTTTTACCACTTGCCCTGAGCGCGTCCGCATATATATGTGTGTGACATGTTGTGCATTTTATAATCCATCTCATCGTTGCAGAACTCAAGTCTCAAGCCATGGCAGGGCGCTGCTTGCAAGTACATGTTCATTGCTTAGCTCACAAGTATTTTGTCAAATCCATGACGCTATAGGACGGATCGAGTTTGAGTAAATGAGTAAATTGGCACTGGTTTTGATGCTCTCACGCAACCAAGAGTTACCAGTGCGTCAAGTGAAATTTTAAAAACAAGTTGTACGGTATTTCAACACACAGTTTATTGTAAATTTTATAGCAACAACATTAACTAGTGAGGTGTATATGTTTTATGGATTGTGATAAAAGTCATATAGTTCATAATTTATGAGTAATCATTGTTTTTCTATTATGCGTGGAAAGATTTATTGGTGTTTAAAGACATCAGTGAGTGATGCAGTGATGGAATAACAGAGAGCATTCGTCATGCTGAGAAGACAGAATCTTTTCGTATCTTGTAACAGTACATACTGAGATAAAGCATAGTCAGAAGTAGATGTATATGTATATTTATTGAAGCAATCGCTGTGTGCGCGCATGTGTATTTTAATTATGAATAGAGAAAATTACTACCAAATCCCATACAAGACCATAAACCACCCAAAAGTCTCATGAGGCTTACAATCACTCACAAATCCCAAATCCCTGAAGTGTAAATACGTCAGAGTCATAAACAGTAGACTTATCTTTCATTGTGGCCCCATGCCGGTGAATGCAAGATAAGCTAGAAAATGGGTTTAGCAAAACACAGTAAAAAATAGAGGTATTATATTGAATTAAAATTTTTTTGGCAGACATACATAGATATAATCATATTCGAGATACTGTGAGATAGTCAAATCTTATTTTACTATATTGTAAGAAATTAATCCCTTTCTTAGACTCAATTCCATTAGAATTACAAAGAATTATTGATATATATTTTTTTGATAGGCATGGGTATCACTTATTAGAAGCAATTATATTTAAAGCATTATCAGATACTAAATATGAATATCTCTCTTACTGAAAATTTGAATCTTAGTTTATCATCATGGAGGAGACTATTATTAATTAATTGACTAATGATGCACATGCTTTAGGATTGAAAACTGAAAAGCCTTTTCAACGGGCCCCGACTGCTTACCAAGGAAAAAAAATAAAAAATAAAAACAAAAGGCCTTTTCAAAGGTCACAGCGTTGAAGTTTTACAGGAACAGCGAGAAATGCACCCACTAGACGAATAATTTAGATTTTCTGCATTTAAATACAATGACACAAAGAATAAGCAAGTTATGAAAATTTATTCTCTCCCTAACTATTTCCTCTTTCCTTTCCAATTTTTTAATACTTCAAAAACACTTAGAAAGCATTTACCTCACAGAAGATCCAAATCTTTAAATGAAAAGTAATCAAAAAGTTGATCTGTGAAATATACAACCCTTAAAAACCTCCATTATTAGAACAGAACAAGGAGAAAAGTCAATAAGAGGCACGTGCAGGCAGTCAGTGGACAACATATGAAGAAGGATGAGACACAAGCAAATAGTCAGTGAACTATATAGAAAGAAGGATGATACTATTTCCCCAACAAGTTAGTTCACAAGTCACAAGATAGGAACAAAGCCTGCGCAGGTCATATGAACGCCTGAAGCGGCCAATTTCAAAGGCCCCATTGACCCCTATATATGATCAACTTTATGGCCAATAATTGAACCATGAATTTGACCCCAAGATGGTGCACCACATGATAAGGACACGTTCACAGAATCCTTATCTTGCACATTCACAGGTAATTCAACTATACCAGAAGTGCACAACAGAACGACCAAGCTGACTCTGACAGAAATTGAACCACAAATGCTTGTTTTTAGTCGCCATGTTTAGACTAAAATCTGAGCAGCTTATAAATTGAATTCTAGAGGGATGTTTGAACAGGAAAAAAAGAAACAGGCACCACGGCACCAGAATAGAACTATCAGAATTCAGTGGAGGGAAAAAAAAAAAAAAACCAGATTCTTCAACTGGCATCAATGGTTTCAGGCCAATCAGCTTAAAGGAATTAACAGAACTTACTAGCCCTCCTGGTAAAAGAAAATTGATAAAGGTACCGACAGCCAGGAGTACCATCTTGGATTTTAGGTTTGAAAAAGCAACAACCACACAAAAATCAGCTATAAACATAAACAGAAACAGCTAGAAGCCATAGCCCATAGGTCTTTCTTTCCCTCCTATGCAAAATCCCCTTTACATACAAGCAAGAATTTGATGACATCCCAAATATACAATGCCAAAAGAGTAACATATAAAATTAATAGTTTTGGAGAATTCGCTTCAGCAAGGAGATGTCCATCAAAGGACGATGACATGCTAAAAATTTGCAAATCATTTCCTTGTCTGCTAGCCCTATTTTCCGGTCAACACTATGCAGATACAATTGTGACAGACGAGGGAGAACGTGACGCCTTAGTTTCAATGTGCCTTCACTTCTGAATTCGAAGGCTGCAGCCAAGAGACAGAATAGGATGCTTTGCTAGCCTGTTTGATATACGTAATTCGGCAGAGACAACGATATTTGTTAAAGGAAAGTATTAGCAGCATAAATCCTCATAACACATGCAAACTACGTTATAAATTCTGCAAGCTTGGAGAGAGGGTACCCAATGTGCTGCTTTTTAATCAATGACAATGAGACATCAGAAATTGACTGCTTTACAATTCCGCCCTACTTAATTAATTATTGATTAATTAACATCTAACACCGTTATTTATAAGCCATGAACATCTTGGCTCACCTTAGATTCTATATAATGCACGGAAAAACTGTATCTAGTTGAATAGATGTCCTAAACTTCTCATTAACCGTATATCTTTAACAAGAGGAAACAAGAACTGCCCATAACATTGCTTTTAGTTCAAGAATAAAGAGGACTTACAGCATAGTTTTTACCTAGTGAAGGATCTTATATTCAAAATAACAAGAGAAGTTACATATTTAAAGAAAAGTGTTAGTTTCTCAATTTCAACCAGATGTAAGAATCGGTGGAGCTGAACTAGAAACCGGAAACTATAGCTTACCCTCTGATATATGACCCCTCACATGCCTGAAAGAACTAAGCTGAGTCTTTCTTACTAGATCTAATGACAATAAACTTCATCTTGCAGCGCATGACTAGTGATGTTGAAAAGTTTGAGACAGCACATCACTACAGAAGATCAAACCATGGAAAAAAGTCTGCTAGTAATATATGTCAGGTGATTACATTAAGTGCTGAAATATGATATTTCCTATGTCAATAACTCTCTATGGAAGAAATACTTTATTTCTGCCACCAATATCATAAGATATTTTGTCATTGGAATCTAACAATGTAATTGTACTTTATCTCATGAACAACGACAATTACATATAATGCTTTTATTTTACAGCCAGATATACTTGCAGAAGCTAACAAAGCTTCACAAGACACTTCTGGTTGTTGGGTGCAAATCCTTTACGCTACTCTTCACAGACTTGCTTCGCCTATAGCTCTTCAACGGTGTCAAGTAGAACCTCAGTAAGCCGGTGTCAGCATTATTCGGTGAATACCTGGCACTCCGGTTTCTCTGAAGCATAAGGTCTTGCCTTCCATTCAAAACATTGCTTTTGTTCTCAGGACCCCCCATGCTATTGACCAAACCGGCCATTCTACAAGGGTTTCTACAGCTAACACTATAGCTTCGAATAAGCTTTTGACTAACTGATTCACTCGCTTGTCCATTAACTACCCTCCTCAGCTTTTGCCAAGAATCTGTGATTGGCTTATTAACCAGATCTCCACTCCAGCGCCATCCTCTTCTTCTAACTTATTTTCCTTCTTCTTCTGTACAATGCCCAACTTATTCCACATCTTGCGCCAGTTTGGGAGCTTCCTGAGGCCCTTTTGGTCAACTCCAGTAGCAGCGTCAGAAGTATCCTCCGATGTAGATCCCAGTACAGGATCAGTTTGAACATTATTCGGAGATTTCAAACCCCTGTCCATTAGTTCTTTCTCTGTGATCAGCAACTTTGCCCCGTAGAATAACTCTGTGGTAGCAGGAGATACTTTGGCATTAGATATCAGTTTTAATTCATCAACCTCTGGTATGGCTGGTTTCCGAGAGCTTGATCTATCAAAACTCCTTCTCCGCTGTTGCCATGACAAAGAATCCGAATAGTAATCTTTGGTCTGAGCTGATCCACCAGGATTCGACTCTCCAGCACCTTCCAGATTCACTTTCTCTTCATGAACTCTATTTTCAGTCACATTAACAGAGAAATTAGCATCCTCCACAACTGATATCATTGGCGAAAGCCTAGGACATGCCTTCCCGATTAAATATCCGTCCCAAGAAGCTCGAGGCACATCAAGCGAAAGCCGCGAATCATCCAGAGACATTCTACCTGCATCAAGTGATAACCTTGGATCAGTATCACAAGATCTTCTTCCCAACCCATATTCCCCAACCTCAGATTGAGTCTCCCTCAATCTTCTGTTTCTCGGCTTCTCAACCTTCAGTCCTGTCAAACCAACGTCCGCATTATGATCAGAGCCATTATGTTTCTTTATCTTCTGCTTTCGCCTCCATTTCCTCAGTTTCTTGCTAAAGGCCGAAGCTGCCTCCCAGAAACTCCCCGCAATATCTCTAAAATCTCTCCCTGCATTTTTCCCACCCTGCAATTCAAGATCTATAAACTCCTTCATCGTCTTCGTCTCCTCCTCGTCATTAACTTCATCTCCTCCGTCCGTAACACCAACAAAACTATCCCCACAAACCCTAACTGCTTCATTCGCATCCCCAAACTGCTCCTCCTCCCGTATTTCATAACTCAAGCTTCCCAATTCCACCTCAAACTTCCGATTCAGGCCCTTCTTCTCGTCATCACGATTAAAGAGATCCCACAGCGTGCTCCGTGCCCGAACCTCACAGGACCTCCGACGAGGCTCCGAAATGGCAGGGGCAAAAGCCGCCTGCCCGCTACCGCAGCAAGATTTGTGTGCGACGGAGCTGAGGGGCAAGCTGAACCTCTTGGTCGGAGTACCCATGGCCGGAAGAGGACTCAATGCCGGCGGCGAGACGTTCCCGGAGACAGGAGGCGCAGAAACCGGTGACGGGCTTGGCGGGATGGCGGTGGCAGCTAGAAAGACGGTGGGATTTGGAAGAAACAGTCATGGCTGCGAAGGGAAGATTTGTAGAAGAATAAAGGGTGAGAGCATGATAGATGAAGAAGGCAAGTGGAGGACAGAATGAGTAGAGAGAGAAGAGAGAGGAGCAGGTTCAGTGGGACTCAGTGAAGTGAGAAAGAAAGTAGCGAGGAAATTGTTGATGAAGGAAACCCTTGATAAACCTCCATGCCTGCCACTACTTTTTTCGTTATCCAATAATTTCCATTAATTCGACACCATTAACAGCTTGAATCATGCATTTATTAATCCTTTTTCCCACTCAATCAAAAATTAATCAACTCAGAGGCTTCTTAGCCACTTAGGATGCCTGAGTGATCAAGAAAGAAACAAAATCTGCATTTATTGAGGCGAGGTGAAATATAAATATAGAGATTCTAATATCAATATCCTACATCCCAACGTGGTAACCTAATCACACATGGGTCCGGCTTCATATCAGGACCACATTGTTTATCATCATTACGAAATTTCAACACTTGAAATCTAATTTTAATAATCCAAATTTAATTTTGTTTAATTGGGATGGATAATTATTAAAAAAAATAAATTGGCGTTGTGTTTGTTTTAAATTCTACAATTAATTTGAAATGCAAACTATTAAGTATTAAAGTTATTTAAAAATAAAAGAATATTAATTCTGAATACTACCTCTGGTCCTAATTATAAGAGCTAGTAGTTGACTAATTTGAAGAAATTAAGGAAAGAAGTTAAATTAGTTATTTATAATAAATATGACTCATCTTTTTAAAAATCCTTACTAATTAAGTGTATTAGTTAAAACTACTATTATTAAAAGGACTACTTTAGGAAAAAAAAAAGTATAAATATGAGAGACAAAATAAATTGTGATCTTATAATTAGGACCAAAATAAAAATTAAACGAGATCTTATATTAAGGACCAAAAGTAATAGTTTAATTTTAATTTAGACCATGTAAGTTGATATTTCAAATTTGCTTTGGCGATAATTATTTCAAAACAAATCAAAACATATGATTTTTTAATATATTATTTATTCTACAAAAAACTAATCACTAAATTTTCCTTGACGGAAAAAGCCTCCTTAGCCAAACACCGAGTTAATTTGGGAATTTATTTTTGTTTGGTACAATCAACTAATGTGTGTCAATTGATTCACTTTTTTCATGGTTTAAAACGACTTAAATTTTGTTTCATTAGTAAACTCTATAATATTGCTTTATTGCATGAACATGATATGAAGTAAACTCAAATCTTCATATTCAAATTTTAAGAATATTTTTAATATTTATTGGTAATTTGTCTTAATGCATTTGCCCTTTATTACAGCATTTTACGTACCCGAGACACTCGGTATCAATATCATATTCCGGCGCGCGAAAAAAAGATCCTCGGTATCGTATTATAATACCATCACGCTTAGGAGCACGAGGTCATCCAGTCCCCCTCCCCCCTCCAGAGAATAAGTCATAAATTAAATTTTGTTGTAATTAATTTTCTTTAAAAAAATTAATTTTTTAATTTTTAACTTACTTATAACTCAATTCATCAATTATAATCCGAGAAACTTTTGACTCGCCTTAATCTCTTGTCTTTGTAATTTTCATATGTGGCTCCTACTCAACTCCACATGGCATTCTTAATTAAATTTAAAGGTATTTGATAGAAATCAAACCATAGTTTTAAAAGTAATTTTATGGTATATGAAATAAATATGTGAATAAATTTATCTCGATGTACGAAAAAATACTTTTAAAAAACAAAGTTCCCAAACATCCCCTTTAACGAAAGAGTGAAGGAGCCGAAAGGATGAAGTGGAGTTCTGGAATTCCCATCAACTGTGATGCTAATGCCAATGGGATTCAAAGCTCCCACTAAGCTCTCCTCTATGTTCTTCCCGCACTCCATGGAAGAATCAAGTTTACATTGAAAAATTAAGATACATTTTGGTGGCTCTATAGAATCAAGAAGAGATAAGACAAGTTTTTCTCAGCATCTGGGATATTTCTGTAGAAATAGTAAAGGCTGTTGGCAGATGGATTCCCAACAAGATATTCACTAGGGCAAAAAAGTTAATTTTATTTTCCTGAACATTGTTTTTGAGCTTCTCTCTTTCGTTAACAAGTTTTGTTGCGAAGAGACAATGTGTGCTTATGATTGCCCATTTAATTTGCACTTGTATGATTTGTGATATAGATGAGGCATCATTACTGATTGAATATGGATCAGAAGAGAACTCATATCTTCTAGCTGCAGCTTGCTTGCAGGTGTTTTTCAGAGAGCTTCCTAGATCCATAGTCCACAGTTTATGAGACTTGCTTTTTTAGCCCAGAGGATGGAGAGATAGATTAGCTATGCAAAGCGTTGGCTTTTTTTCCAAGATTACGCACCTCCATTGTCATTATATCTTGATATTCGTCCAATAAGGAGCCATATGTAAGCACACATGTTGGGGTTCTGATTCAAAAACTCCTTATGAAGGACATGAAGAAGAGTTTTGGTGGAACCTTTGAAGCTTATCATCTGGAACTCCTTTCCGTCATCTCCACTCCTTCATTTTTTTGTTTAAATTTATATATAAAAAAACCACGTGGAACTGAGTTGGGATCACATAAGATGAGTCATCATTGAGTTACAGATAACAAGGATGGTGATATAAAAACTAAAAAGATAATCATAAACAAGTCAAAATTGTAGGAGCTGAATTATACTGAATTATAGTTAAGAGATTTAGCTATAAGTAAATTAAAGGTTTAAAAACTAAAACATTAATTTTTGGTAATTTTTTAACAATTAACTTAACTTTACTACTCTACAAAATAAGTCTTATATTAAGACTATGATATAAATAAAATAGTGTTATATTTAAGACTGAGAATGTTATTCTTACCTTTTGGTTATTCCTTTTTCACTAAGGTAATATTAAAAGCATTAGGTTATAATTTTAAAAATATAGCTCATATTTATTTTGGCCAAAAAAACTTATATTTGTAAAAATTATTAATAATAATCTATTTTTATGATTTATAATTAAAACAAGTGTAAGTACTTGTATGAAATCTAAAATAAATGAATTACCATCATTATAAGTTGTGGAAAACACTAAGTTTTTGCTGGCAAAATAAAAGATAAGACTAAATTTTTTAGGCCAAAATAATTAATGCGATTTCCTATGGACAAGAGTGGGCTTCTTCTGTGTTCGCTTTTTGTCTTCTTCCTCTTTTTATTTCTTTAAAGTGAAAATGAGCCATATTATTTACAGACGATGCCATTTGTTACCATTTCTTTTTAGTTGAACCATTTTGTACAATTTCTATGCTTAAATTATAGGAAAAATGATAAAAAAGAAGAAACTGAAAGTACTAAAATTTAAATCTGGTAACAATACTTTATTTAATTTTGACAATATTAAATTTACAAACAATAATAAATTTTTACCGACATTTCTTAGTAATATTAATAATACTCAGGCCAGAAAATATTAATTGATTTTACTTTTCCAAATCTTTCTTTTCTTTTGGAAAAAAAAAAAAAAAGGAAGAAAAAGGCACGAGGTGTTCTTCGGAGGTTCGTTGGTAGTAGAGCTCGCCAGCTGGACCCTCCCGCGGGTGAAAACCACCACCGCTTGCTACGTTACTGTTTGCGCCGCCTCGATGTCCTCCGTGCTCCCTCCCTCTGCCTTCTTACCCGATGGACCAATCGATCTGAAACCTATCGGACTGTCTCGAATCCATACCAGACCAATCTCCCTTCGATCACCAAAAGCTCATATCGTCTCTTCGAGTTTATTAGTACCCAAAACCGTGGACTCGTTTTTCAGTCACAAAATTCAATCTTGGAATTCCTCAACTGTTTTCAACCGCGTTCTTTCTCTTCCCCGACTTGAGGTTTCGTCCGAAAATGCCCAGTTCAACTCGCTTCCTGAGGACGAGCAGTTGCCGCAGGGCCAGCAGCCGAATTTCGCTGAGTTCATTACTTCGGAGAGGGTCAAAGTGGTGGCGATGCTTGCTTTAGCTCTTGCGCTTTGCAATGCTGATCGTGTAGTCATGTCGGTGGCTATCGTGCCGTTGTCGCTCGCTAACGGTTGGAGCCGCTCGTTCGCTGGAATTGTTCAGGTGCGTTTCAAATACTCGAAGAATTGCCTGTGAGAGTCTTCGCTGCCTCGTACTTATTGTTTGACTGATACTTTTGGACAGTCAGCTTTTCTTTGGGGGTATCTGGTTTCACCTATAGCCGGAGGGGTATTAGTAGATAACTATGGTGGCAAAGGGGTCATGGCTTGGGGTGTGGCTCTGTGGTCGCTGGCTACTTTTCTTACTCCCTGGGCTGCAGAGACTTCCTTGTGGGCACTGCTTGCCGTTCGTGCTTTGCTGGGCATAGCGGAAGGAGTGGCTCTTCCTTCCATGAATAACATGGTGGCGAGGTATTGGCTATTGATTGTTTACAACGTTCGTTTTGGGATGATCACTAGAATTAATGTTTCAGTGGATATGACATGACCCTTTGTTTATTATTGGTACTGAAATTATAAGAAATTGTTGAAGCAACAAGGCTGAATTAGAGAATAATGACCGGTTTCATTCTTCCCTTTAGGTGGTTTCCTCAAACAGAAAGGTCAAGAGCTGTCGGAATTGCAATGGCTGGGTTTCAACTTGGGTCTGCAATAGGGCTCACGCTTTCACCAATACTTATGTCAAAAGGTGGTATATTTGGACCATTTGTAATTTTTGGATTGTCAGGGTTTCTTTGGGTTCTGGTGTGGTTATCAGCAACATCAAGCACTCCAGGTCGAAGTCCTCAGATATCAAAATATGAGTTGGAGTATATACTGAATAAGAGGAAAAAAGCCTTTGATGTAGATACAATAAAACCCAGTGGAAGTAAAGTTAAAGTGACTCCTCCATTCAGGCGTTTGCTTTCAAAGCTGCCAACATGGTCCTTACTTGTTGCAAATGGCATGCACAGCTGGGTAATACTTCACATCTATTGCATTTACCTATTAACAGACTCTTGCTTATAGTGTTATTAAGTTGGAGTTTATAATCACTCGAGTTGACATAAAATTTGCCAGTGCTACATTCATGGGGGATTACCTAGTCTTACTTCCTAGGCTGTGTTTTGTACATGTAAAGAGAGATAGGGTCCAGGGAAAGGGGAAAAGGTGATGAAGTGTCTCTTTTTCCCTTGTGATTGGTATAAAGCAAACCTTTTCACTTGGGAATGTCATACTCCCTTGTTCAAGGGTGAGTTCTCGCTTTCCAGCCCGCTAGTGGAAATGCCCTTTCCCTTTCTAATTTATTTATGCCAAACTATAAAACATATCGTTTTCCTTATTTTTTTTCATCTCCTACCCAACATGATTTGTGTACTTTCCAGCAAACCCCTCTCCCTTTCCTCATCCATTTTCTTATCTATTTCCCTCTCCCTTCACAAGGCTCTCTTCGTACCAAATGTGGCCCTGAAGTAATCTTTACTTTTGTTCCCATTCCCCACAACCCACTTAATTACTAGAGAAGAATAATCTAACGGAATCTTTTTTTGAAAAAGAGACGATGGCAAGGTCAAAAGGAGTAGATATTAGTGCAGATTATCTATATTGAAAGAATTGTCTGCAAGACAGTATCATGCCATATTGTAACTATTCTTTTATCAGAAATGCCTTGTTCTTTTCAAAATTTGACTCTGTTTGTTTTCCTTATTTCACAGGGATTTTTCGTTTTTCTTTCTTGGATGCCCATATACTTCAACTCGGTAAGTCTCATTATTTTTATAGAATTGTAATTTTTGCTGGCAAGCATGCATTGGAAATTATGTTGAAATGAATATTTTTTGAACCATTTTATGCATAACCTTCAATCACAGGTATATCGTGTGGATCTCAGACATGCAGCATGGTTTAGTGCTGTTCCATGGGTTCTGATGGCTATCATGAATTATGTTGCTGGCTTGTGGTCAGACATGATGATACAAAGTGGTATAAGTGTCACTTTAACTCGCAATATCATGCAAGTAAGTAAAATATAGTGGAGAGGTTTATTATGAAGAAGTATGATAATTTATTTCTGATTTACTTAAAATAGATATTTTGTGGTCATACTGAACCGGCAAAACTTTCTTTTTTATTTGGTGATTCCATTAAACTTTCAATTATACTCTTGCTAGATTGCCATCTTTTGATCTTGGATCTGTCTTTGGTGTTGGAGTTTGGGGCAACAGGATGTTTTCTGAAACAAGAAATTTTTGGTTGCTATTCTCTAATTTTAAATTCATTGATCTTTGATGCTCTCTTTTCTTCCCCTCTCTTTATGTCTGTTAATTTTCAATCTTCCCAATGTGTGTAAGTTCATGTGGACAATGCTTCTTGTGTTTTTTCACTGCAGTCCATTGGTTTTGTTGGTCCTGGATTATGTCTCATCGGTTTGGTAAAAGCCAAAATTCCGTCAATTGCTTCTGCTTGGCTGACTTTGGCATTTGGCTTGAAATCTTTCAGCCACTTCGGTTTCCTTGTGAACATTCAGGTTTTTATTTTCAATATTATTATAATATATTGTTTCCAGGTAGTATAATCTTCTCACTACAGCCTAATATTCACTTCCTTCATATTACAGGAGATTGCGCCACAGTATTCTGGTGTTATACACGGTAAGATTTTTGTAATGATCCCATAAACATCCATATGATGTGATTTGATAACTTTTTAATCAATAATACCTTCAAAATGGTTTGTAGCCTGTACTTCGTGATCATTATTTGTATGTTGTAGAAAAATTGTAAATGTATGGCAGGATAGTGTATAGCAGGTGCAAAACTTTGGAAGAGTTCAATTAAAACAACTTCCTGCACTCCGGAATAATATGTTGCCAACAAGGGTTTTTCTGATCTTTTTTCTAGGATTGGCACTCACTGCTGGAACATTGGCGGCTATAATCGGAACAGTTGGAACTGGTTTTTTTGTTGATCTGATTGGATCTTTCCAAGGGTTTCTGTTGCTTACATCACTCCTATATTTTCTTTCTGCTCTTTTCTACATCCTCTTCTCTACTGGAGACAGAGTAAATTTTGATGAACCTGGTGAGTATAATACCTTGTTACATTTATCTTGAACTTGCATTATTTTCTGGATTTTTCGTAGGAGGGGAATGGCTGCTGTGTTATTTCTAGAGTCTGTACTTACAAATGGCTGAGTCAACTGCTAATTAATATTGTTAAATTCACCTTAATCCCCGGCATAGGAAAAAAATAATAGCGAAAAAGGTGGTGCTCAAAAATGGTTTTTTCCCAGAACAATACTAAATCTCTAAGATCTATCATAATGGATTTTCGTCTTTAGTAATGGCCTCTTGTAAATTTCTCACGAATTGTGTGTAAACTCTCTCTGGACAGTTCCTTGATGAGTGTCAGAAACTGCTAAGCCTACTGTACAGTGTCTTGTATACAAAAGGAGTACGAGGATCATGTCCTCTGGAAGAAGCTTTGACCTATTCTCGTCTGTAAATTCAATGCCTTGTATAGCTCTATCGAGGCTCTTTGTTTCAGGTGCATGTTCAGTACAAGGTTTCCCTGATATGAAGAATATATCGAAGTGACCAAGGAAAAAGAAACAAAGTGTAGAAGATAATAATGGTGCTGAATTGGTTTTCCTTGGCTGAAGGATTTTAGAGCCAAACGAATCATTTAGCGGACAAAGAGATGGTGGATGATGATTAATTACACAAGTAACATTTTACTTGCCTGATTTTTTTTACTATAAAGGGAGAATTTCGAAGTTTAACTTGTTAATAATCCGAACTCTAATGAAAAATGAATTTCAGGAAACAGAATTTTCAATTATATTAATTCAGAAGGTGATTGTATTAGTTTATACAATTAGATTTTATGCATTTTGATTGTGTCTCCGAATTTTTGATAATTGCAGCTTCTGTGGCTAACATCTTAGTTGCTTACCCCCCCCTGCTGAGTCTTTCGCATTATTGCTTCTTCAGGATTTGAGGGGCTATATTAAGTAGAGCATCATTGCTTGCCGTGGCCTTTGACAAAGTTCTCCGGATGAAGTTCACTGCCTTAGGAATGGCTCTTGCCTTCCAGTTTCTTTCCCATCTTTCGAGTTTTTGGAACACCATATAAAATCAGAATAATTTTCGTCAAAAATGCTCTGTGAAAAAGATTTTATGGAGGAAATTGAGTACACATTAAATGAAAATATACTCCACTGATTTTTATTACTACCTCCGGTCTTTAATATAGAACCTTGTTTGATTTTTATTTTGATCTTAAATATAAGATTCCAATTTATTTTGTCTTTCATATTTATATATATATATTTAAAGTAATCCTTCTAATAATAGTAGTTCTAGTCAATACACTTGATTAACAAGGATATTTTAGGAAATACAACACTTATTTATGACAAATAACTAATTTGACCTCTTTTCTTAATCTCTTTAAATTTGTGAACTAATTTTTATAATTAGGATCGGAGGTAGTAACTTGTAAGGTCACACAGAATGTGGTTAATCATCCATATAAAGCCACACTATGCATCATTCACAATGAGTTTCGTCGCCGTCAACAAACATGAATGATGCACCCACATAAAATAAGAGGAAGGGGAGCGACGCGGCGGGAGAAATAATTATGAATTATTAAATTTAATAGAGATCATCAAATGTGAATCATCATCGTCTTCGTCATCTTCAAACTCTGTACCATGCCTTCTCATGTTTCAAGTCAATTCCTGCGGATGACGACAATATGTATAGTGTCGTCGGATTGTTCCCCTGCATTGTTGTGAGTTTCCGTGCCTTGTGCTGTAACGTGATGATTATTGAATAGCTTCGACAGATAGTTTTAGGACAGGAACATGGCCAGTACGAGGATAAGTGAGGACAGGTTGATGATGAAGCACTTGATGAGGGAGACCAGAACCAGCAAAAGCAGCTCACATGCGATAATTCCAGAAACATGGCACGCCGCAACCTTGAAATAATCCAGTGACCGATGATCACTGGTTTGATCCGAAGGGAAAGTTGAGAGTGCAATGTCGTAGACCAATTTTGATATCAGAAAAATCATCATGGTAACCATGTGGTCTTTGAAAGCGCGGTTGCTCAATGCTTCATGCTTCATCCCAACCAAAGCAAGAAGCATTCCAGTTAGGTAGGCATAAATTGTAGGGGATGGAACAAATCCGAAGCCCTTCACAAACATTATGTGTGTGTGTAGCAAAGGGTTAAAGATTCTGTGTTTGGCTCGATGGAGGGAAGGGGAGGGGAGGAAAGGGAGGGTAGCTACAAAAGGGAGGGGAGGGAGGGGGAGGGGAGGGAGGGATTTTAATGATCTTCTGTTTGGATTGAATGGAGGGGAGGGGAGGGAGCAATTTTAATAATACCTTATTTTGTTCTAATAAAAAATTGACTATTTTAGCCTCATAAAATTTAAATGAATTTTCTCGCTTTTTTATTTTGTTAAGATATAACTATATATATAATACAATTCACCAATTTTGATTTACAAGACATAGTCACACACTTATAGAATATCAAGATAAAAAGTCACGAGTGATAGATTTCAATCAGAGAAAAGACCTTGAAGGTAAAAGAAAATACCAACAACCTCTTGGAATTAGAAGAAGAGAAAAAAAAAGTTTACAAATGCTCACTAATTTTGGAGACAATTATCTTAATAACCTCTTGTTAGATGCTCAAAAAACTCTCTTATGTAGAAATGTTTACGACTGATTAGAGATTAACAAATCAAAAGGGTATATAAGGAATTGAAATATTATCTCTCATCTCCCCTCCAAAAAACACCACTTTTGGAGGGGAGGCTAGAAGGGAAGGGGAGGGGAGAAGAATCCCTCCTAGGGTGGTAATACGGGCCAACCCGCGGGTTGCGGGTTGGCCCGTGGCGGGTTCAACCCATATGGGTCAGGTTGAAAAGCGTCGTTTGAAGGCGGGTTGGCTTTTAGCCAACCCTAACCCACCAAGGTGGGTTGGTGGGTTGGTGGGTTGGCCCGCCAACCCACCAACAATTATTTACTTTTTTTTTTTTTAATTTTTTAATCTTTAAATATTATTTTTTATTCAATATTTAAAAAAAATATAATGATATTTTTACTTTTTTCTTGAAATATTTGATTGGAAATACCAAATAAATTATATAAGTATTTTTTTTTAATTTTTTAGATATAATATCATATATAATAATACAATTATAATAATTTTTAAAAATTTTAAAAATAAAAAAATATATATGCGGGTTAGCCCGCGGGTTGGCGGGCTAACCCACGGCGGGTTGTGGGCCTGGCGGTGCGGGTTGGAAAGATTCGTTTATTGGCGGGTTGGCTTTTAGCCAACCCTAACCCGTTATTTTTGGCGGGTTGGCGGGTTGAACCCGCGGGTTCAACCCATATTACCAGCTCTAATCCCTCCCCTCTTTAAAAAACATCTTAACCAAACGAGGGAAGGGGAGGGGCTCCCTCCCCTCCTAAAAAATTACACTAGCCAAACAAGGGGAGGGAAGCAACTCCCCTCCCCTCCCCTCCAAAAATCCCGTACCAAACATAGCGTAAGAAATGAAAAGATGTATAAACTAACCAATAATACTCCTCGGATTCTTAATATATGACTTAATTGCTGAGTTAATTTTAGTTCTAAATATAAGACCTATTTTTCATATTTATTAATTTTTTTCTAAATTACCTATATGGATACTCGTTCAACCATAATTAAATAAAAGACGGGGAAAGGATATTAAGAAAGAGGATTATAGTATTTTAGAGAAAACACATCATATTTTTTATAATTAACTAATTTACTCAATTTTTTTAATCTAATCATAGATTTTATATTATAGATACGAGGAGTACAAAATAATGGAAAAAGTTGATCATGACTCACTTGGGCTGTCTAGCAGTCTAGCATGAATTGGTCCAATATTTGGGGGTGTCGGATAAGCCACGAAGAAGCCTAGAGACCAAATATCTCATAATTGCAGTCTAATATCAATAATAATCAGTGTGTGTCTGGTCAATGAAACCGTGAGACAACGAGGTGTTATGGAGACTCTTAGGAGAAGCGCATGGGAAGGATGCGGCTAGAGGATGGGCTCTTGTTTGCAGTCTAATATCAATAATGATCACTGTGTGTCTCCTCAAAGTAAATTTAATGAAACTGTGAGACAACGAGTCAACGAGGTGTTGTGGAGAGTCTCGGGAAGGAGCTAGCCAGAGAAGGATGGGATCTTATATAATCAAATGTCTCCTCACGGATGAAATACAAATACTGCGAAAGTCGGGGGGGAACGTCCAGTTGCGCAAAGTTATTAATAACTTGAAGTGTAAAAATTAACAAGTATTACAACAAGTATTCACAACACATTTTCTTAGCGGATCACAAAAATATAATGTATGAGTTGTCAATATATGTCATGATAGTTGTTACTCGTTACATTTTAAATTGTTCAATGACTGTATTTTCAGTTATTAATGGATACTTTGAAAAAAAATAAAGACAATTTGATAGTTAAACAAATCAAATTTCTTACAATGAGGTCCCTTAGGACTTCATTTTAATATATTTTTTGTATTTAATTTTTTTGGGTGGGACCTTATTACAGTTTTCTTTTCAAAAAAAGTGTTTATAAAAAAAAAAAAACTGAACATGTGGATGACCCCAAAATCATCATTACGTCGACACAACCAATCCAAACACTCTATAACCTGGCACAATTTATTTTTCGACCAAAATCATGATTTAGATATGTTTCTCAACTTTTGGAGGAAAGTGAATGAATAGATTTTGAGTCGAATAAATTTTATGAATCATGAATCTCTTTTAGAGAAAAATAAACTGTGGAACATGGAATGAGGGGCCTTCAAAAGTTCAAAAATAAAGAAAACGGGATTTGGGAACTTCACTGATACGTACGTTAAATTGTCCTCATTGGGACCAATTGATCCAGGATTGTGTTTTGGAATTATTAGCAACAACTGAAAAGTGGTTAGTGATTGAGTACAATTTGGTCTGCCCGCTGCAAAGTAAAATGTAAAATTCTGTCAAGTTGGGCTTGAGCAATTTTCTGGGAAGAATCTGATGACTCCCCCACTTGGGGCCAATATCTGGTGACGCGTGGCGGGATCAAAAAGAATTTGATAAAAATATGGAAGATGTCATGAGAGAAAAGAAAGGAAAAAGCTAGACGTCCAGGACCTGTAAGTGAAAAGCCCAATCACACGGTGGAGAAAATGATTCGACTTGAAAAGCAAAGGATGAACCAACAGGGATTGATTCAAGTAGTAAGCGGCTTGGTACTATTTAAATGAGGTTTTAAGTTCAAGGCTCAGCGTATGCAGAAATTCTTATTGAGAGACTCACCCACTATAGCCAGGTACGCAACGCGAGTTGAATCCAAATGTAGTCGGAGCAAAACTCCGGTAAACTGGATGGGCAACTAAAAAAAAGTAAAGGATGAAGTGAAACTCAATTTGCTTAGCCGTGTGAGTGAAGACTCCACAACTCCAGAGAGAGAAGCCTCGTCGCAACTCAAAGTGCATTGTAATCAAATCCTTCCAAAGCTCTTATTAATATAATATTAAAGATTAATAATATATAATATAATATAATATCTCTGTCGGCGAAAAAAATATAATATAATATATATCTCTCTCTAGCATTGATATATTCATCAAAAGGCTGGGAAGGAAGCTGAGAGTCCAGCATAGTCCGTTTGATGCCCCAAAATTCAAAATGCATAAATTAGAAGGGCGATGTGAGGGGCCTGCAGGATATTTATATATTCATCAGAAGGCTGTTTTTGAATCATATCAAGGAGATATGGGGCGGCCCTTATTCGATCGCATGATTCCAAAAGAGTCCAAAATAAATAAATAAATAGAACCTAAAAAAAATT